GGGAAAAGGAGAGACAGAAATGAGGGGACGGGGAGGGGTGGGGGCGAGGAAGCAACAAGTGTCTTTTCCCCTTTCACCGGTTCCTCCAGTTTTACTCCTCTACACCATTCATGGTTCTCCATCCAATTACAGCATTGCAGGGGGTGGGGGGGTACGGTTCTCCACCACCAACTAGCAGTTCTTCAGGACACCAGTTGGGTGTGCTACAATTCAACTCAATTCTGACACTGTTTACCAGGCGACAGCAACATATTCCACAGGCCCAGGGTTCACTCCTCCAAGCCAACCCTCCCCACCCACGTCAGCTACCAGTTGCAAGCTCAGGTTATCACTTATGCTTCTGACTGATTGGCTGCAGATCAGAGGTTCCAACCTCGCCCTACGTGGGTTCTGTTAATTTGCAAGAGTAGCTCACAGGACTCACAGGAACATTTTATTTACTAGATTACGGGTTAATTATAAAAGGATGTAATCCAGGAACAGCCGGATGGAAGAGATCCATAGGGCAAAGTATAGGGAATGGGGTGAGGAGCTCCATGCCCACCCAGGCATGCCACACTCTCTCAGAATCTCCAAGTGTTCACCAACCTAGAAACTCTCCGAACCCTGTCCTTTTGGGTTTTATGGAGGCTTCATTACATAGGCATGATTGATTTAAATGATTGGCCATTGGTGATTGAACTCAATTCTTTTTTTTTTTTTTTTTTTTTTTTGCTTGTCAAAATGATCTTTATTGGAATTCTTTTCCGTTTTGGTCCTTTACTAGCCGGACATTCGACTGCACCACTGTTGATATCATCTATGATGTCATGAGGGTGGCAGCCATCACATTGCACCCCACAGATTGGGCAGTCCCTAGGATCTCTTTAATGGTTCCAGAGAGTTCTCTAGCTAAAGATTGGCGCCACATCCGTCGGGCAATTCTGACAATCTCATCGAATGTGATATTTCCACTGTGCTTAATGTTTTTTTGCTTCTTTCTGTCTCTTGGAGGTTCTTTGAGGGCTTTGATGATCAGGGCAGAGGCAGAAGGCACTCCTTCAATCTGGGCCTATTCTGAATGGTCAGTTTCACTGTCATCCTCAGACCCTAACAATCACCAGCTGCTTTGGCGATGTCATCACCAACCTTTTTTGGAGACAGGCCCAGGGGGTCGATCTTGGGGGCCAGGGCAGATGTGGCACCCCCTTCCCCACCGGTGCGCCTCAGGTATACAACTTTGATCTCGTTGGGGTTGGACTTCGGCGGCATGGTGGAGGCAGCTGGTGAATCGGTGAACCCGGATTCGGGACAACCGGAGAAAGTTGCACCTGAGCCTCCTCCGAGCCGAAAGCCGAAAGCTGAACTCAACTCTTAACTCCTCTCCCCTCCCGGAAGTCTAGGGGTGCACTGAAAGTTACAACCAGTTTTGCCAATGTGGGACTATCCTGGGCAGTCTCCACACAGCAGCTAGGCTGAGACCTTCTTGGGGCTGATCTGCAGCTTAAGGATCCTCTCAAATCCTACTTTCTTTTCTCTTCTTTCTTTTTTGTTAATCCTCACCTGAGGCTATTTTCTTCCATTGATTTTTAGAAAGAGTGGAAGGGAGAGGCAGAGACAGAGAGAAAGAAACACCTATCTGTAGCCAAAACCGGTTTGCTGTGGAGCGTCAGCCCGAGGACTGAAAGGTTCCAAGTTTGATTCCAGTCAAGGGCATGTACCTTGGTTGCGAGTACATCCCCAGTAGGGGGTGTGCAGGATATTGATCGATGTTCCTCTCTCATCGATGTTTCTAACACTCTATCCCTCTCTTTTCCTCTCTGTAGGAAATCAATAAAATATATTAGTACCCAAAACTTAATAATGAGAAACAGTTCCCTATCCTTCATTACTGCTACTTAGAAGCAAATGCTTTCAATTTTTAGCTATTTTTTCTTGTATTTACCTTTATATTTCTACATAATATACTGTTATTTCTTTTTTTCTTTTAAATATATTTCAATTTATTTTAGAGAGGAAGGGAATGGGAGAGAGAAATAGAAATATCAGTGATGAGAGGGAATCATTGATCGGCTGCCTCCTGCATACCCATACTGAAGATTGAACCCTCAACCCAAAATTGAACCCAGGACCCTTCCGTCCATAGGCTGACTCTCTATCCACTGAGCCAAACCAGTTAGGGGCATGTTATTTCTTGATTTACTAATTTTAGACATTCTCAACATTTTCCTTTATAATACCAATATTTTTTCTTGGAGTTAATTATTGCCTTTTTTTTTTACTTGCATAGTTTTTATTTACTTTAATTTTTTTCAGTTCTCATGTCAGAACACTTAGCAGTAATATTCTCTAGATAAATAGATCATAGCATTTTCCATTCCATTTCAATAGATCCAGTACAACTAATCTTCTTTATATTGATTATTTCAACTTTATACTAGCCTAACTAGAATTCCTATTTTTCATATTGCAAGGATCAAGCTTGACTTAGTTGTTATAGAGGAAGGTGTAGAGGGGATAAATGGTGATAAAATAAATGATGTGAAGCATAAAGGCTATTTTACTGATTCATTAGGAGGGAAGTTTTTTGATAAGTTAACAATCGTAGTAGGAATGAGAACCGATTTAAATTGCCAACTGGAACTCAAAAGTGTGAGAATTCTCAATAAATATTTAGGAGTTTTTCCTACTGACTACACTATTGTGTAAAGGTGGAAGCCACTTAGATCTGCTAGACAGGATAAACAAAACATTGATCTTCCTGTTAATGAATTACTTCAGCAAAATCTCTAAGTCATCAACTTCTTATCTACACAGAAAGCTGTGTCTAAGATACATTATTAAGTAAAAAATAGAGTACATAAATAGTATCAAACCTCTGTAAAGATAAATTTGTATATGTACATATGCATACATGCATGCATGTATGGTGTGTGTGTGTGAAATAATCCAAATGTTGGTGTTTGTCTTAGAGGTGGGATTGGGGGTTGGACCTATACTTTCTGCATTGTGCATTTTTGTCTTTGAGTTTTTTTGTAACATATATGTTTATATGGGTGATGTTTATGTTTAACTTATTTGTGGCAGGTCAGAAAACCAGTTTGCTAATCAGTGTGGTGGAGTTCTTGTTCTTAGGCAGGAAAGGGAAGACACTTGGGTAGATGATGGGATGGGAGTTGCAGAGTGTGTCACTCAAAGCCTCTGTAATAATTTAAGGGCCAAGTTGACCCTTACCACCAGAATAGTTTCTTTTCTTTTTTTAAAAAAAATATTTTTATTGATTTTAGAGAGGAAAGGAGGAGAGATAAAAATATCAATGATGAGAGAGAATTGACATTGATTCTCTCATTGATTGCCTCCTGCACGCTCCCCACTGGTGATTGAGCCTGCAACTCAGGGTATGTGCCCTTGACTGGAATCAAATCCAGGACCCTTCAATCCGCAGGCTGACGCTCTATCTACTGAGCCAAACCAGCTTAGGCCAGAATAGTTTCTTATTGCAAGAGGAGCAAGTAAGCAGCTCTTGACACTGTTGACAATACGTTCACTTCCAGTTGGAGGAAGCTAAGCTCTGGGTTGGTTTTCAGGGGTTAGTATCTAAACTGGTACCGTTCTGCCAAAATTGGTTTGGCTCAATGGTAGAGCGTCAGTCTGCGGACTGAAAGGTCCCAGGTTAGATTCCGGTCAGGGGCATGTACATTGGTTGCAGGCACATCCCCAGTAGGGGGTGTGCAAGAGCCAGCTGGTCGATGTTTCTAGCTCTCTGTTTCTCTCCCTTCCTCTTTGTAAAAACCAATAAAATATATTAAAAAAAATTTTTTTTAAACTGGTACCGTTCACCTCAGGGACAGCAGCAATTGCCACCCCACAAATGGAGGCAGCAAGTCTGCAAGGAAGTCTATAAAGTCCTGCCTCAGGGCACTTTCACCCACTGCTTGTGGGAATGTAAATTGATTTGACTCTTTTGGGTCCAGTTTGATTATACATTGTTAGAAATTATAATGTTATGAATACTCATATCCAGCGATTTAATTAAGTCTTTATTCTATGGAAATAAAGTATAGGCCAAGCAAAGACTTGACTACAGTATAAGGTATGTTTACAGCTGCAGTTAAAAAAGATATAATAAAGAACAGATGAGAAATAACTTGAATTTTCAAAAACAGGGAAAGTGGTATAAGAAAAACTAAGCAGCTATGTCACAGAAGAATATTTCATATACTGTATATTCACCATATATTTAAAATAGTTCACACAGATTTAAGAATATTTAATAATTTATATTTATATAATGTAAATGTAAACATTAGTTTATTAAATAAAATTAACTAAATTTTATTTTTATTTTTATATAATAATTTAATAAATATATTCATGATATAATTCAGAAGTAAAAAACACACAAAACAGTCCAAATAGTGTGATCTAATTTTGATTTTCAAAAAGATACATGTGCATGTACGTGTGTGCGAGAACACACACACACACAAATTCCCAGATCTGACTATTAAATCATAAATCTTTTTTTATATTGAATATTTCAACATTAAACTAGCCTAACCAGAATTCTTATTTTTTATACTTATTTATGTCCTTTAATTAGCATTCAGCTGTATCTGCCACTACTAAGTCATTAAAAAAATTTTTTTTTTTTAATTCAACAAACATTTATTGAGTGTTTATTATGAGCTAGATATTGTTCCAGATACTTGGGACATAGCAGAGAAAAAGGTCCCTGCCCTCGTGGAGCTTACAGTCTAGTGTTTAAGACCACCTTGCCTGCATGCTGTCTGTGACCCTGGGCACATCCCTCCTCAGCTGTCCAATGCAGGAAGCAGCAGGCCTGGCCCAGACATGGATAGCATGTCCTATACATTGCAGATGCCAAATGGATACCACCTCCAACCCACTACCCAGAGAGTAGCTCAGGCTGGAAGTTGACTTTTAATAATAAAATACAGGGGGAGGGAGAGGGGGGGCAGCAGGTGGGGTGGGGTGCTGCCGCACAGGGTCTGGGCTGGCTACACAAACTGCTGCTGCTGCTGCTTCTTGGTGGCTGCCTTGCTGGCGAGGTCCTTGGCCTTCTCTGTAGCTGCCAGTGCCGTCTCCTTGGCCTTCTCTTTGGCTTTCTCCTTGGCTGTCTCAACTAGGGTTTTGGAAGGAGCCTCACCTTGCCGCTTGGCCAAGACGTATTCAAAACCCTTCGTTGACTTGGTCACATTGCTTTTGAACCGGGCGAGACCAAATTCCTGGACGGCTCTGGAGATGCCAAATAAGCTAGAGGAGACCCAAGCTTCCCGGTGGATTTCGGTCCAGCCGCTGTTATCAGAGTTCACACAGTAAACACATCGTTCCTCCACCACCATCAGCCGGGCGTGGTTGATGTTCCAGGTGAAGGTGGTCATGGTCTGGTTCTGTGGGTCCACAATGGAATCCTCCAGGATGTACACTGAGTGAGCAACATTGGCAGGAAATAGTCGCTCAGCCCAGCGGGGCATCCTGTTGGTCTTGGTCAGGAGTCTCCGGGACAGGAGCTTCTGGTCAGGGGTCACCTCCCGGTGCACTATGTCTTCTGTCAAGACATGTTTGCTATAGGGATTCGGGTACCGCTGCCAGAAGGCAGCGAATACTTGGTCCCAGGAACTCCGGAGCACGCTGTGGCCCAGGAAATACTTCACCATTGTCCCGGCCCGGTGGGGTCAGTGCCCGAGCAGCATCAGGGGCGCGCAGCCCGTGGGGCACGCGGAGGCCAGGCTCGGCTTGGCGCACGCCCGCCCGCCCGCCCGCCAGGCACCAGCTCAGTCACCGCCCCACTGCACCCCAACTGCAGCCGCCGCCATGAGGAGTTGTTGGGCCATTAAAATTTTTTTTTCAATCAATAATGTAGTTGTTTTTAAAAATATATGTTTTTATTAATTTTGGAGAGGAAGGGAGATATAGAAACATCAATGATAAGAGAGGATCATTGATTGGCTACCTTTTGCATGCCCCTTACTGGGGATTGAGCCCGTAACCCAGGCATGCGCTTTTGTGGGACCCTTCAGTGCACAGAGGGACACACTATCCACTGAGCCAAAACAGCCAGGGCTGTTAAATAATTTTGATGATCTAAAATTTTTTTACACAGTTAACAAAATATAAGTTAATAGTATTGATATTAAGCACTATAATCTTTTGCCCCCTTTTATTGAATTTATTGAGTGACATTGGTTAACAAAATTGTATAGATTTTAGGTACACAAATCTACAATACATAATCTGTGCACTGTATTGCATGTTCACCACCCCAAGTCAACTCTATATCCATCACCATATATCTGTCTATACCTCCTCCACTTCCCCCTACCCCTACCTGGCAGTCAGCATACAGTTGTCGGTGTCCATGAATACATTTTTCTTTTTTGCTCAATTCCTCTAAAACCCCTGCTCCCCGACAGCTGTAACTCTGCTCTCTATCAGACTATCTATGATGAATGTATTTTTCAATATGGCCTTATTATTTTTAACTTGTTATAAAGTTGCATATAATCTGTATATATAAAATGCTAAGTGAGTGTCTGACTGGCTTACTATCTGACTGGATAACTGTCTGACCAGCCAGTACCTATGACATGCACTGACCATCCAGGGGCAGACACTCAACACAGCAGCTGCTGAGCTGCAGTGACTTGGCAGTGGCAGTTCTCAGGTGATGCCTCCTAAAACCAGAGAGGAGGGAGCCTGATTTCTTGGGGGGCCGCGCGCTTCCATCTTCGACCGTGGGTTATGTTGCTGCTGGGGCACTGTCCATCCTGAATCTGGTTTACTGCACACTTGTGTTTGCATTCCACACCCTGTATGACAAGTAACTTTGCAAAGTGCCCTCTCACATTCTGGGACCCCTATCTATACTATCTAATAAAAGAGTAATATGCAGCTGAGATCGGTTTGGCTCAATGGATAGAGTGTCGGCTTGGGGACTGAAGGGTCCTGGGTTCGATTCCGGTCAAGGGCATGTACCTTGGTTGCGGGCATATCCCTGGTGGGGGGTGTGCAAGAGGCAGCTGATCGATGATTCTCTCTTATCGATGTTTCTAACTATCTCTCTCCCTTCCTCTCTGTACAAAAATCAATAAAAAATATATTAAAAAAAGAGTAATATGCAAATTGACTGTAACTCTAACACAAAAGATGGCTGCCCCCATGTGATCAAAGATGGCTTCCCCCATGTGGACACAAGATGGCCGCCACAAGATGGCCACCACAAGATGGCCAGCAGGGGAGGGCAGTTGTGGGTGATTAGACAAGCAGGGGAGGGCATTTGGAGGTGACCAGGCTGGCAGAGGAGGGAAGTTGGAGGCGATTGGCCTGCAGGGCAGGGCATTTGGGGGTGACCAGGCCTGCAGGGGAAGGCAGTTGGAGGGGACCAAGCCTGCAGGGGAGGGCAGTTGGGGGGACCAGACCTGCAGGGGAGGGCAGTTAGGGGTGACCAGGCTGGCAGGGGAGTGATTAGGGGATGATCAAGCTAGCAGGCAGAAGTGGTTATGGGCAATCAGGAAGATAGGCAGGCGAGCAGTTGGAAGCCAGCAGTCCTGGATTGCGAGAGGGATGTCCGACTGCCCTTTTAGGCTCGATCCTACCGGGATTGGGCCCAAACGTGCTTTCGGACATCCCTTGAGGGGTCCCAGATTGGAGAGGGTGCAGGCTGGGCTGAGGGACACCCTTACCCCCTGCATGAATTTCATGCATCGGGCCTATAGTCTATATTATAAAAGGCTAAGTGACCAGTCATACATCCATTGCACACTGGTGATTTAAAAATAAATTTTGACTCGTGTATACACGATACATATAAAGCTCTTGCTGGTGCCAATCACATGAGTATGTTTTGATCTAGCATTGTTGATTGTGAATTTGGTTTTTGTTGACATTTCTATTATAGAAAAAGGACAAATAGCAATATTAAAATAGTTCTAATTAATTTCCTTTCAATGTGCATGAATCCGTGCACCAGGCCACTAGTTGATTAATAAATTTGAAATTGTTTAAAAATTTAATTTACTCTTTCTGTAGTTCACTATATATATATATATATATATATATATATATATATATATATATATTTGTTACGGTCACAATATTTATTATTATTATTATTATTATTTAAAAAATATATTTTATTGATTTTTTACAGGAGGAAGAGGGATAGAGAGTTAGACATATCGATGAGAGAGAATCATTCATCAGCTGTCTGTTGCACACCCCTACTGGGGATGTGCCCGCAACCAAGGTACATGCCCTTGACCAGAATCGAACCCAGGACCTTTCAGTCTACAAGCCTATGCTCTATCTACTGAGCCAAACCAGTTACGGCCACAATATTTACTTTTTTTGAATTTGAATTATAGTTTAAAAAGCGACAATAAAAACTTTAAGGATACATATATTCCATGTAATATTTGGGACAAACTTATACTTTAAAATGTATTTGGGCATTTGGAAATTCAAAAACTGGGCTGCCTGTATTTTAACTGGCAACCTGTCCCAAGCATGTCCCCAAGCCTAATTCCAGGGTGCCCAGCCAGCTCCTTCCACGGCCCTCGCCCTCAGGGAAAAGGCAGGAGCTGGTTTTCCTAAGCTCTACTAACAGGAGAAGCTCTGGGGTTTCCACAGTATTTCTTGCTGACAGGAAGGTAATCCTCCAGACTCTAGAGCAGGGCTAGGGCAAGTTCAGAGAGGGGTGTGGCGAGTGGGGGTTGAGTCCAAACAGGTGATGTGGCTGGTTCCTCAGACAGCCAGAAGAAAACCGGTGAGAGAGATATTTTTTGAAAAAAAATATTTTATTGATTTTTTTACAGAGAGGAAGGGAGAGGGATAAAGAGCTAGAAACATCTATGAGAGAGAAACATCAGCCAGTTGCCTCCTGCACACCCCCTACTGGGGATGTGCCTGCAACCAAGGTACATGCCCTTGACTGGAATCAAACTCAGGGCCTTTCAATCTGCAGGCTGACGCTGTATCCACTGAGCCAAACCGGTTTTGGCGAGAGAGATTTTTGCCTGGCAGAGAATTGCCCAAGGAGAAGGGAGGGACAGGGTGTTGGCTGCTTTCCTTCAGGGAAAATTCTTCCACCTGAGCTCCAAGAAGCCAGGATTGGACAGATAGGTAGGGAAGCTGGCGCAGGGCCTGTCCAGTCACAACCTCGGTGCTACTCTAAAGAACACATCTACTGAAACCTGAATCACAGCTTTCTTGAGACTGAACTCCGCGCTATTGACCCCTCTCCCCATTTCAGTTGCTCACAGGTAATCTATTGGAAAAAGGTGACTTTCATTTCTGGAAAATTCTTCATAATACCATTTCAGCCTTGATGAGCTGATGTTTTGGGGAATCATTTGGAGCCTTTCACTCCCTGCTCGCTCAGGTGCCCCCTTTAGGAAGGGGAGTTGCCAAAGGGAAGGAAGCTAACGTTTATGGAATGACTGCCTGTTGTCACCGCTGGCTCTTTGTATAAATTTTTAACTCTCACAGTATCTTGTGAGACAATTGTTTGGTGTGTGTGTGTGTGTGTGTGTGTGTGTGTGTATGTGTGTGTGTGTGTGTGTATTAGAGAGAGAGAGAGAGAGAGAGAGAGAGAGAGAGAGAGAGTGTCAGACAGACAGACAGACAGACAGACATCAGTTGGTTGGTTGCTCCTACATGTGCCAAACCAGGGCTAGGGATCTAGCCTGCCACCGAGGTATGTGCCCTTGACCAAAATCAAACCTGGGACCCTTCAGTCCACAGGCCAACCTTCTATCCACTGAGTCAAACAGGCCAGGATGGATGACTCTTTAAAGTCTTTCCCATGGCGAATATTGGCTCAGCAGAAAATGCCCCACCTTGAAAATGGTGTTAGGAATGAAGGGTGGGGTCATGCGTGCCTCTAGCTCTTGTCCCTGGCTGAGTGTTTTTTGCTTCTTTGTATTTCAAATCTTTTTTTTTTAAGATTAAAAAATATTTATCATTTATTTTTAAAGGCATCAGTAAAAAGCTTAACATACTAAGAAAGTTACAATATACAAATGTGCTGACAGATCGACTTTCCTGAACTATATGTGACCTTGAGTTTCTTTTAATTACTCACATTTCCATTGTTCAGTTATTCAAACTGATTATTCCCTATAAATACCTGGCTGGTTACTTAAGCACAAGTCACATACAACAAAGGTAAATGTGGAAGATTGTGCCATTCAACCAAGTGCTCATGAAGAAAAAATGAAACTGTTCACATTGACCAGGGCATATCAAAACACCCTTCTCCTTGGGAGAGAGCTGCACTTCTTAAGGAATACTGTATAATTACTCCTTAATTAAAATGTGAGCACCTTCCTTCTTTTTGATTTTGTTTGAAACCCATATAGTAACCAGTGTGATAGCCACTCATGTACCAAGAGATTAACATATTATACTTCCGAAAGCATCAGCATCGTCAAGAGAATCTGGACATGTTGGAGGAGGTGGGGGAATTATTGGTGGTCCAGAAGGAAACGGAGGCAGCCAGTATGATAGGAAGGGTGGTGGTGGTGGAGGTGGTGGTGGTGGGCCATTAAATTTTAGACCTGGCTTTCCTGGACCCAGTCCTGATCTTGGCATGGGGGGTGGTGGAGGGAGAAAATAGTTCCATGGAGCAACTCTTGACTTGATGTTATTTGGTTTGTTT